GAAAAGAAGCCTGGACTTAAATGTATATATTTCCTTTACTTACTATTTAAATGGGGTTCCTTTATTCCTTAGAACTGCAACACAGGAGTTGGTCCATTTCTTTAATGGGCCACTGCCTTATTTCATATTTGTCTCCTGTAAACATGTTTTTTCTTTTTTACATTTTGTTTGGGGCTTTTTTGATTATCATGTTTGCTTAAAATCTGCTTTTATAATTTTAAATGTTTCAGTAAGTGTTTAGTCATATTGCAAGACTGGCAAAGGTAGTCAGCGGCCCCAGCATGCAAATTATACGTACATGGTACAAGGACATCATATTTGATGTACCCTATGTTGACTTCAAGTTTAAGAAACAAGTTGTCATCGAAATGAAATCCATTTCAGTTCAACTTTAATCTAAAAGCATTATCAGATTGTCAGTGGCATAGATTAATTCATTTAATTCCATGCACAGAACAGCTTTCATATTCAGAGAAGACGTGCTCTGGGTTGATACAGGTGTCCCTGTCTTAGGGCATGAGAACTGCCTGCATCACACTCTCTCTCCCATTTCTTGTCTGTTAGAAGTTCTTCAGGTTTCAGGGCAGGGGTTCTCAAATTTAATTTGTTTGGATGGTGTAACCTTAGCTCCAAAGAAGTTACCAGACAAAAGTTTTCAGGTTTTGGTAAGATGGAATATGCATGCGCTGGATTGATTATATCATTTTCAAACATTACTATACATCTGCTGAAAAAGATCTTGGTTTATTTCTTGTGGGAATCCTATTCTCCCTGAAAAGCAGATTATGTTTAGGATGGCATCATACTTAAAATGGTGTTAGACAGCAGTGACACACGTTATTTGGACAGGAACTACTGCATCATAAACTATAATAATGTAGGTGTTCTTATTCACTGTTGTGATACAAACATTAAGCATTCACTTTTTATGCTAATGTCCATTTTCAATTGTTTTTACTAGTAGTTCGGGATTGTTTTCATCTCCGTCTGTTTGGGCCTGAGGCGGACATTTGCTGTAGTCCGGTGGTGTGAACGTTCACAGCAGAGTTAGGAAAACCATATTCAAGTTCCTGGTTGAAGGAATGAGTAATTATTGTGTAGTAGAGCAGCATGAACACGCAGGCCTTGCCGGCAAACAGATGTGTAACAAATAACTGAGTTTATCATGAGTTTCATATCCTAAAGGAAGTGGCACACAGGCTCCCAATCTAATTGATCAAGTTCACAGGAGGTAGTAAATCTTGAAAATCAGTGTTTAATGCATGCAGCCTTGATTTATTTGAGCAGAAGGTTTGTCTGCCGTATTGTGCTGATGAGGGTCTTAAGACTTCTGTGGAGTTTTTTTTCTGATTTTCTCTGGTGTGAGTTTACCATGACATCTCAATATGCATTCCCCTGGGGAACTCATTTTTCAAGTGAGTGTTGGCAGCCAGCAGCTGCATCATTAACAAAGTCATGAAACTCCTTTGTCGAATTTGGCTTCTAATTTATCGATGGCAACTCAGGAACCCCAAAGTTACACCGACATCAAGTTTTCTTTGGAGGTCCTGACAGATATCAGCACCTTTCAGGACAAAATCCTGAACAGCAGGCTCGTGAGGCACAGTTTGGATGACA